TCTTCGTGATTTTTTCCTCTTTCAAATACTATATAGAAAAATTACGTTTACGACAACTTGAAAATCTGCATTAGTTCTCAGGGAACTGGAGTACCCCACAGACTAATGATTCGGCTACAAAACCAACAGCTACGTTTTTCTGAAAGAGCTCTGACATAGCAATAGAGATTTAGGTAAGGACTGCCATTATTTAAAGAAAACTGAAAAAGCTGTTCACAACCTCTCTGTTTACAAGCAACAAGAGCTGAGAGACAGGGCAGCCTAAACACATCAGGAGGTTGCTTCTGTTCAATCCACAGACCTTGTGTTGTTCTATTTAAAGCCAGTGCATGTGTTTCAATTAAAAAAAAAGATATTTTTCTTTACATTTATGCTGTCTCAATCTTTTTCTTCTTTTTAGTTGTCATTCCCTGAATCTCACACATTGACTATACCTTTTCTGAGGACAAAGTCTGTACTGCAGGCTGCATATTTTTTAATCAGACTGTTACTATGTCCAAGTATCTTCAAGAAATGCTGAGGATTTTCCCTATCTTTGACTTCGAAGCCTGTAAATTTGTTCATATTTTCATAAACTAAATCACAGATCTTTCAAAATATAACAACATCTAAAGGCAAAATGCCTTGCAAACATAGGGAGTCAGAAAATTGGAAAAGAAAACAATACTGAATATAAATTTCAGATCAGGCTCCTATTGCCAGAGTTGAGTTCTGAAGTTCATGGCAAACATGCATTTGATTTCAAAAGGGCAAACAGTCAACACCCCGACTTCTAATTGTTCTAAAATGTCTCCTGGCAGAAAGAAAACTAAGAGTAATGTATCATTTTACAATATTCAGACTTTGGAATAAAAATTCTCAGAGCTGTTTTCATTAAAAACAATATGCAATTTGAAAAGTAGCAAAGTTCACATTAAAAAGCAGGGGAAAAAAATCTACAATTTGCTCTTCTGTCATCACAGATGGCACTTTAAAAACTTTATAACCTGCTTTACATCTTGCCTGATAGCTTTTTCTTAACAAAATATTATAAATTAGCTTAACTTTAATACTTCACTCTCAAATACAAAGAACGAGATTTTCAAAGCTTTATATTACGTTAATCTCAAAAAAAAAGAAAAAGGAAATAGACAAATTGTGAAGAAAATCATATAAAGAAGTATGAATATATGCATTATTCAAATCAAGGTGCAAATCTGAATAGCAGACGAGATTTTCCCAAATACACTGGTTATATTAATAGCTATTTGAATAACAACTGCATTATGAATAGGGTTGCATAAAGCCAAATTTAACTGAAGCAACATCTGGCATACTAAAGGTGTCACAAAAGATATATCTGTAATTTGCAAAATTAGTTCCTTTAAAAGTGTGAAATATTCATCACTCATCATATTTTTAAGATTATGAGCTCAGAACTTTATGAACACCAGATTTCATTAAATCCCCTTGTTGCATCTAAAGACTATTGCTTACAGAGAAAAATAGTGGTGTATTTTCCATCATCTTGAATATAGCAGTAAGTCTGGAAGTAAAGGCACAAACAATTGCATATACCTGCCAGCTCCTTTCAAACTGCACCAAATTATAAGAATACGGAATCAGTTACTTTTAGAATAGCATTCAGACTGAGTTACTATATTGTCTCATTCCACCTCAGATTTTGAGAGCACTATTCACCAACATTCACCTCCACCCGCAACACACACTAACAAGATGTTTATAGTCCTACTCTGATCAGCGCTTATATTAATTAGAACTAGTACTTCAGAGGAATTTGGGAGATTTTTGTAGTGATATTTAATGACATTTTCATCCTACAAAGCACGGAAAGGCTGTAATATCGTTACTGACAAGGTTTTAAAGGGATCTGCAGGCTGTATTTCATTAATAAAACAACATTAATTTACTACACAAATCATTACAAAGAGTGAGAAGTGTTTATCATACTTTATAAGGTAGTGTGATTTTCATGTGACAAATTATTCAGGCATAGCTGGAAAATGCGAATAATCTACTGAATTGGGTAGTGGTACCATTGATGTCTTATGTGCTGGAATTAGTGTACGCATAAATGAGAACTCAGAAAAATTATTAAGATATATCAACATACTTTATTGCAGTAAATATTAGTAAAATTGCAATCACTATTTAAATCTTAGTTCTGAAATAAACTCCACAAAGATAGGCCACTATGACAAGAGACAGCTCTATGCAGAATTAGCTTCAGAGATTATTTTTATCTCACTATTTTATCAGTGTAATGAGACAAATTATCCTCTGAGGATAAATTGATTGAACAACATCAATTTCTGAAAATAAAATGAACAAACAAAACACATGAGGGATTATCTGCTACAGGTAACATTTCATGTAATATTTTACAATAGGACTCTTCCATAGTACTTTTGGGGGTTTTTTTTGCTGTTTAAGAAGGAATTCTTAACTTCAATTGATTTTATAATAAGTGGTTTGTTGATTACTAACATTAGTGTACATAAACATTTCCACAAAACTTGACATTTAAGTTTTATATAAAACAATGTAAACCCGACAGGGAATTCTTGACATTTCATTTTTCCTCTTCACTTAAAAGAAATTTAAAGAATAAATGATATGGCCCATAATACTTTAACTCTTCATTACCAACAGTACATTAGTTAAAGTAGCCCTGTGCAAGACGGACAGTGTGCTCAACTGCAACAGAAGATTGTGGGCTCAGACTTGCAATCATTAAATACAGAGAAACACTATCCACCTTGTGCTCTCTGTCCTAAAATTACACTCCTTTCTCAAAATAATACATCCTCATGGCCCCAGTTGAGCAATTACAAAGTTTCTTTAATTTTATTATCAAGTTTTACTAAAATTCAGATTTTCTTGTAAAATTATATATTTTTACTTCTCACAACTTGAGAATAGCCTAAATTTTTGTATCTATATGTATTTCTATGTAGATAAATTGATAATGATCACACCTTTTTGAAGATGCATATAGATTTCATGCCACACTGGTGATATGAGGCACTAGTACAATTAAGAGAAATTTTGACACCTTTGAACTTCTTAAATGCAATAAAATGTATGACCTCCATACCGCTCTGTACTACTTATTTCATAAAAAGGAATACCTATATTATGTGAAAGTTTGTCCTTAAATCAGAGCTATAAGAGCAAAATATTCACAACAGTATTTATAAAATTGGAAATTTTCCCCATTGAAAGACCACTGAACAGTATTTATAAGACTTCATGCAATATTTCATAAGTAGAAAAAATATTCACTTATTGTAACATGCAAAAGACTGAAGTGGAGTTTAGGAGCCTTCCTAAATAACATAGTAAAGAGAATGAGGACCTGTTCTCTCAATGATACTTCAAAGTGTCATGGTTTTAGACAAAAAAAATCATTGACATAGAACGTGTAAACTTATTGGCATAGTCATTATTTTAAAGACATCTCTGCAAGACAGTGAAAGACATTTTCATCTGAAGAAAAGTAACTAGGTAGTGATTTAGGAACAACTTTTGCAGTACCTATTATTTTATATGCATATGCAAATATAAAAATACTAAAAAGCTATGACACCTTCCCAGGTCAGGCCCCACATTCTTGTTCAATTTCATTTTCAAGGACACTTATGACGTGTTATTTGGCTATAAAAATCACTTGAAAGTAGCTTTTTCTAAACAAATGAGCAAGTATCTGTCTCGATTAAAACAAGCACAGTAAAAACTGATAAAGAGTCTAGTTATGAGTAAAACCAAAACTTATTGCATTACTCTTCATTAAATACAGAGCAAACAGGAAGATAAATGCAGGCATAGCAGATGTCGTGAAAGAGACGGTTCATTTTTAATAATATGAGATTTGTTAGTAAAATATTATTAGTTAAAATAAATGTTTATGTACAATATAATTAGAAATCCTAACATCTAAAATTAGTTTAATGTATTTTTCAGTGTTTAGGCATGTATTTTCATCCAAACTGCAATTGTTTGTGACTTTACAATAATATCTTCCAGGTTTGAACACCTTCAATGTCTCTCCTATGTTGCCATGTTGAGGGGAAAAAAAAAAAAAAAAAAAAAGATGAGGGGAACTCCATAGGATCTCAGCAGATCATTTAGCATATGCAAAAATCATTTAAGCACTTAGTCATAATCTATAGTCTCCAGTGCCAGATCACAGATATTATTTGAATATATGAACAGTAATCAAAATTAATATTTGTTTCTTCCTATGCAGTTCCTATTGCAATAATATGGCACCTGAATAAAGCTGCAGCTTCTTGGTTTAAGCATTTCTACTATACTTACTCATCTCAGAAACAGCCAGACAGCGTGTATTACGACTCAAATGAAAGCAAGTCTTTTTCATTTGAAGATCTTAGTTCTCATGTTTCAGAGGAGTATTTTTTTCCCTGAACTCAGGTTCTTCAGAAACATGGTACCTTCTTCCCAGCTCTGTCTACAGAAAAGACTACGTTCAGGCCAAACTGTAAGAAAACCTAAGGCTTTAGGTTTTCCACAGCTCTTTGTATATGTGAATACATAAGGACAACAGAAGTCCAGGGAACTGCAGCATGTAGCTAGGTAGTTTTTCAACAAGTTTATAAACCTTTCTAAAGAAGAGATAAAATAATCCAAACTCTTTGTTGCATATGTCTAACACTCTTCAGAATATTGATATCAAAGTGTATGTACAATAAAAAATACCTAATTTTCATAAAATGTCTGTATAAATATATCTCCTTGACACACTCCTTACAGTGACTTCCACATGTAAATTAAATGTTTGTTTTAAATGTGCAGTTGTCAGAACTTTGGGGTTTTCTTCATATTTCTATTAGAAACCTTCCTTTGCAAAAGAAAGTCTCCAGTAAGAATACTTATACAGGGCGCCCTGGATTCATATCAATAAAAGTATTAAAATTCCGATGTACGTATTTGAAAATAATTTTGTATTTTCAAATAGGGATTGATAAACTGCACAGTTCTCATTCCAGTCGTCCTTGCTTAGCATCACCTATTGCTCCCCATACATCAAAGACAAACTCATCTGGAAATGCAAAGTCCCCAAGAGTTTCATCCAATGCCACTGCAAATTCATCTGGGTTTTTCTTGTCTCTTCCAGCTTCCACCATTGTTGCAGCTAAAAAGCAACAAAACAAAACAATGTAATTAACATGAAAATGACAGCTAACATTTCAGGCCAAGATAGTTTTTGAATGTCTATTTTCAAAATGAAATAAGGTCAGCCTAGGGAGACGTAAAGCTTACCTACTGAATTTAGGATTCAATAGGAATATGTCCTTAAATCCCCCCACACTAGCTACATTCTGCCCTGATAAACAGGACAGCTTCCTTGGAGTGCTTGTTATATATTCTTCTATTTGTTTGGCAGAGGTTTAATTTTTAATTCAACGAACCTTTGTTTTACTTTGATTAAATTATATTCTGTATTCATTACTGAAGGCAGATGAAGCATGGGTCTAACAACAAGGTTAAGCACAACTCTTCTGCAGTAACAAGACCCATGCCAGTTCATCACCAACTTCAGTGAGTTTGATAGGAGCTCACTGATCTAAACCAGAAGATCAAAAGGCAAACCTGAATGTTTTTCTCCTCTAAACAACGAAGAAAAGATCTCAGCAAGTCAGAGTTTAAAGTGGCCAAGTTCTTCACAGAAAGACGAAAGGCACAGGGTTTGAACATAGAAAACAACATACAGTCTGCATAATAGATACACGCAACCAAGCTAGTATGGGTTTGCTAGCAACAACCCATGTTTTACGAGTTTAAATGTTGAGCATGACCTGCATTTAGAAAGAAGTAATGATAAACGGGCCTAGAGAAAACACTTGAATACCCTACTTCAGGAAACAAGAATTCAAATACTAGGCTCAACTAATGTGTTGTGTAAAATACAGAGAAAATTAAAATTTGAGTTGTTAAGTATTGGACACAGTGTGTTTGCAATGGCCTGAAAGAAGTTGTGTTCTCAAGAAACTACCGTATGACCTCAAACAGATTTGCTTAATTTTTCAGCTTAATTTTATTCAATTTTAATTAACTTTAGCTTAATTTTTTAACCCAAAAAACACCTGCGGGTAGTAAAGGGACTGAGGCATTTATTGTAAGCCATATTATTCTTCTGCTTGGATCTATATTTTCTTCCATACAATCCAAACTAAAGAGTAACTGATTTTGGTGCATGAGTTTGCTTCAGTTATTATTACCTCCAGCTCTGAAAAGCAAATCTTTGATTTATAGGACCCTCAAGGTTGGGAAAGTTTGTGCTTATGCCACTAGGAAGTGAAAAAGATCAAAGTTATTTCTGGAAGTCTCAGCCAGGTGGTTCAAACTGTGCAAAAGCAAAGGAAAGGCCTTGTTGCTGTGCACAATAAACCAGACCCACCAAAGACTAGGAACATCTCGGTACCCAGGAAAGTTAAAGCAGAGAGGTCTGATACAACAGAGGTAGACTGTGATATCTTGTATACCCATGCTGTCTGGCATTTTCTCTTATTTAACACCCAAGTATCAGAATTTACCAAGTTTTAGACTTTAGTTTGGAAATGGCTACACTGGGGTCACTGCTTAGGACTCAGTCCTTAGCTGCTGTGCTCTTTCCTCACCTTTAGCCACTGCACAGTTTCTCAGATTCTGGAACAAATTACAAGTCTATCCCAAACAACACCGGATGCTGGCAACCCAGGGATATTAGAGCAAATCAAAACTGCGAGGTCTCAAACCTTCTCGGTCACAGCACCTGCACCTCCGTGAAGGATGAAAAATGTCAGCATAGGAGCTTCTTCTGGCTAAGCTAGGCCAGAAGAACTACCAGCAGCAGGCTGTCATGGTTTGAGGGATGCAGAAAACTCTGTAAAGCAGACTCAGCACAAACAGCACTGCTGAATGCAGTTTATTTTATGAGCCATATCTCTGCTCCACAGCCTCTGTTCATATTCACAAGAAATGATGGTATTGTACAACAGATGAAACTCTCAAAGTCTGCTTCGTTTCGTGATTACTTTACACACCTGCCTTAAACTGCAAGACGTCCTCCATCTTTTGTTATACATCAAGTAACCACCACTTTCTTCATGAGCATATCAAATTCAGGTGTCACACTGAAGGATTTGATAGCTTTTAGCCCTTTCTCAGAGGGATATCTGAGTGGAAAACATGTATTACAGTGCCTGAGAAAGGGATGGAAGTTCCGAAGCCACAGAAGACCATCTTCACTGGGACAGTCTGCCATCTACTGCATGCACTGTGTTATATTGACATGGCAAAATCTCTCTGATAAAAAGGAAAAGAAACTTTCCCTGGTCTTAAGTTTTATTAAATGTATTTAATATTATTTTGTTGACCTGAAACTCAGCTCAAGTTTATTGACAGTTATGAACTTCTGGCAAACAGTGTTTGCTGTTATGCAAACTTGTAAGAAGCTGTGAGCAAACTTGAGCCATATTCCACATTGTGGACGTCAGCAACAGTAATTCTGAAGAAATTTGACGTTTTGGTTTTAGTTATGTTCAGACACAAAGCTCCAAAGAGAATCGCAGTGTGCCAAACTACACAAACCAGTCCAAGATCTTGACAAACAGACTGCTGTGATTGAGACAGTTCAAGTGTAACCCAGCTTCCCGGGCACCACTAGTGGTTCTCAAGGACTCTCAAGACCTGTTTCACTGTCAGCAGAAACCCTATCCCTGCTGTGTTGATCCTTTCTGTGTCCCCTGTGAAGTTCCTGGGATGCTGACTCAGAGGAATCTGGATGGGAAACAGGCATTAAATAAAGGACTCTTGTTCCTGACAAACGGAAGACAAATATTTGTCCTATCAATGCCAGCCTATATCCCCTGACACCGTGGCATAAGAAAGTACTTACAGAGGAACAACCCTGGAGGTAATGACGTGAAGGCTGTAATTTAAACTTCACAGATTTCTGGATATGAACCAGGATATGAAGTTTCTCTATATAGACACTGGGAGAGGGTTGGAGGGAGAAGAGCTGTGCAAGGTGACACAAGAGCAAATGTGTCTAGATATAGTTACTCAAGATAATAAAAAAAAGTTCCCATCAATGGAGTGAGGATCTAGACAAGTGTTCCAGGAGAAAGAGTAGGAGCAAGGAATTCAGCCAGTTTTAAGATAAATTGGTCAAGATATATGAGAGCCATATGACACAGACAGAGTGATAAAACAACACAGCATTCAACTGTCCTAGCTGAAACCTCAGAATTAGGCAGTAATAAACTCTGTCATTAACAGAAAATGCTATGTCAAACACAATTTTCTTCAAAGACTGAGCTTCCCAAATTATGAAATAGAACCTTAAAAAGAGTTTATTATAGGTTTACCAAACTTGAAAACGAAATCCACTAAACTTAGATAATCAAGAAAACTTTCAACCCAGTCAAGCAGGAGTCAGAATATTGCCACCGTGCGAAAGCAGCAGCCTCAAAAAAAAGTGTTTTCATCTGTATTGAGCAACTGTAATCAGCACTACCGGGGCGCATTTAATGTACTCTATCTAAAGCACATTCCCTTCCCAGATTCACCTAAGGTAATGAAATACGCTTCCGTGGGAAGAGTGCCGGATCGTCCCTGCTGGGGTGTCCCTTTTCGGTAGCTTGGTGCTGACCCCTGGTGCCCGCAGGCTGGTATTACCGTACAGCAAACCCCAAGGCACGATGCAAGCCATCGCCCTTCCTCATTTTCACAAACAACTTGTACCACCGATGTCTACGAATGCGCAAGGCTGAACCCTGCCTCCTTAGTGTCATACTTACAGAAAGGCCAAAGCTAACCAGTCTCCTCTGCCACCCAGGGTACATAATTCTTATATCCCCAAGCAGTAAACACAGACATGGGATGGCATCCTCTGGGCGGCACAGCTGTGCGGAATGTGCATGTTTACACAATGACATTTGCAATGCGTAATTCCCAAGGCAAATAACAAACTACTGATTGCCAAGGCATTTAGCAGATACTTGCCAACTTGAAGAAAACTTTGCTGGTTCTCAGAGGGTGACAGCTCTGGGCCAAATTGCCTCCATTCCCCTCCCTTTCTCCCACTGCTTCTTGTAACAGCTGCACAATAAGTGACTACAGGAATTTTATTCCAATAGAATATTTTTCCACACTCCAGACAGCCCCAATTGTTTTCACATTTTTTTATTTTTTTTTTAAATCTCACTTCAGGCAATGCTTATACCTGAGAAATTTTTACATAAAACGTGAAAAGTTCTGCAAACTTAAAACTGATGAAAGGAATTAGAAGTCTTCTCAATTTCAACTGAGAAGCTCCACGTCAGGCTTCCCAGATTATGAACAAAGAAGTTTGTTGGCTTTTAAAACCTAGTCCCTTTAAAATAACTTCAAAGATCTTTTGTAAAAATCCTTATTTTCAATTTTGATAGACACATGCGGCACAAGGCACTAAAGGTACAATCTGGCTGCCATTGTTATTATCTACCTTACATAATGGTTTTGCTACCTATATCCTACCTTGTAACGTCTAAAAAAACTTCTTCAGAAGTCTTAACAGGAGCTTCAATATTTATTTAGCTGCAATGCTATCAGAAGCTTTGCCTTCATCAAAAGGTAACAAATATTATTATTCTGGCATGACACTTTAAAGGAGCTAAAATTCGCATTCAGCTTCCTTACACCACAGAAGATGAAGCATGTCATTGCAGTTTCCAGTGTTTAACATTACTTGGTTTTAGTTTCACGTTGAACGTGGTCAGATCTAGCACTCAAGAAACCATTAGAAATATCCTTTCTTCTTGTTTCTTTTTATTAAGTACTCATTCTTCTTGAAGTGGGTAAGTTTTCTTGTTTAACCAGACTTGCTACCTTTCCCTTTTTCACAAAACTCCCATTATTCTCCCAGAGTAAATGAACGGTCATAAACAATATACCCCAGAGTGTATACAATAAAACCCTTTGGGAAAGGAAGTCTGGTGACAGAAGAGGCAGAAAACAACAGATTCAGGGAGAGTATCATTTTAGTCAAAGTGTTTCAAGATAAAAACGTCTATCCAATATTGCTGGGTTGGATTAGTGAGCCAAGAGAAGAAGCTTGGGTGACAAAAAGTTTAAAACTGTTAGGACATTCTGACTAGATGGT